GTACGGGTCATACTTATTTGTATACAGTAGGGGTGCGAAGCTAACGCCTCTTCAAATAATAATTGTCATCTATTGAGATATTGTCCCCAGGTTATATCTCAATAGTGTATTGCTTGCGTTAAGCGATGCTTTCTTTCAGGAACATACTATATATTCCACAGCGCCTATGTATTTTTAGCTCGTTATAACGCACACATGTTGGAATTTCCAATCGCTCTACAGATGGCAATACGAATACGATGGCACGTGATGCATAGTTTATTTTTAAAGAGGCCTATTTAATATAATTGAAAAGCAATTGTGCGCAAGAACCAGCTCCAACTGATAGCACATAAATATAGAATATATATATATATACAAGTATATGTAGTATTAAACAACAAGACAAAGCATATTGATAAGAATTAATTGACCCCGTCAAGTCAAGTCAAGTGTGCTGATTGGGGGGCGCTGGCATACAAAGCAATTAAACCAATAGCTATGGGACTGAAATGGACGTCAATTGAATAGATTTCAACTGACTACCATTTACTAAATATTTTCATATATCTCGAGCATGTTTTATTTGCATGTGTGTGTGTTTGTGTAGAGATGTGAAAAGCAAATTGATACAAGTTTTTAGTATCACTTAATCAAATATTTGTTACCTGATAAGCAGACAGAACAAGTCTAGAGGGCAGACTGCTGCTCATCCAATTTGGGCAGTTAACAACTGGGCCAGAGGCTTTAATTACAATCTTAAATAGACACAGTAGAGTGCAAATTGATTTTTAAAAAATTGTTTGTACAGCTGTCGCATTAACAGCTAAACAAGAAAATAAATGATAAAAACAAAAGGCACGTGACCGACTCACTGACGATGAAAGGTACTAGTACATAGTATATGTAAATGAGGGGAAAATGGGTCAATCTGATTTGCAACAACTTTAAGCTGCTTAAAAATTGTAACAACTTAAACATCGAAAGCTGGCGAATTCTAGGTGTTCATCCAGACAGACGGACATGGCTATATCGATTCGTCTCATCATGCTGATTAAGAATAAATGCATAGACTTTTTTTCTTGTTCTTAATAAACTCATCCACGGTTCTACCACCATGTATCAAATATTTGAGAAATTAATCTCTGATTTGATCATATTAATATATTTTAAGTTAAATTAAAATTCTTAGAAACAATAAGAGGCTCCATTTAAGTTAATAAAGGTATGCTAATGGTTAAACCAATTTTCCATGCACTTGTTATAGGACCCGGCCGGAAATTCGCGGAAGGCACTAAAGAATATCCCCCTTTTCATGTCCTAAATCGACTCATGACGCGACACAGAGAAATTACATATTCAAATCTTGCGAATACTTTTAATTGTTTCCTAAAATATCAACGAAAGACGCTGCTATCTCTCTAATGCCAACACCTCGATTTTCGAGCACAATTTCCTACACTCTTCCGGCATTATCGTCGTTAGCAGAGGTTGTAAGGGTGAGGCAACAAAATTTCAAGCAAACTTGTCTGTAACTTTTGCATCGTAAACAAATAGCTGTCAACACACACACTACTAATTAGCATATCCTCCTAAAACTTTAAACAAATGTGACCATTGCGGGTAAAATTTTATAAGTCCAATCTTATAAACTAGTAAAGAAAGGGAGAAATATACATACATACATACCTCACAACTTGTTTTACTTGTATTTTACAAGTTATTGACTTGCCCTCGCACATACATAAGTACATGTATGAATATGAATATATGTACATATGTATGCATAAATAAAATATTCCAAAGCGATCATACTATATGCCGATATTTCCAAACGTCTGATCCAATGTTTATAGACGCAGATGTTATGATTTTGAAATTGCATTTTTGCGTAAACATCTGAAGTAGAGTTGGGCACGGGCCGTGTTTTTTGTCGTGGCACTTCGTGCCACGCGTGGGCCCGCGTGTTCGTGTTGTAAATTCCGATTTCGTGCGTGGCCGTGCGTGTTCGTGTTGAGCCAAAAAGGCACGACAAAACACGCACGAGGAAACACGAAAGAACACTAAAATCAGAAAACGAAGCAGCCAATAGTCAACACGACTTTTCTGAATTTTTGGACACTAATAATTCAAAAACAAAATTAAATTGGACAGGTCAAGAATGGATATTGAAATAGATGACTATATAAGTAGTGTAGTTGATCCAGGAATTTGTGTGCTAACATTCTGGAAAAAACAACAAATGTAAAATGCTACGGCAATTATCAAGGCATATACTCAATATCCCTGTCAGCTCTGCAACAAGCGAACGAGTTTTTTCCACTTCTGGACATATTTTAAATGAGCGACGTACTCGGCTTCTTAGCTCAAATATTGATAAGATAATCTTTCTGAATAAAAATTTGTAATGTTTATATATATATATATATATTTTTTTTTAATTTTTATATTTAATATATAAAAAGTTCGTGTTGGGCCGTGTTGGGCCGTGTTGGGCCGTGTTAAGAAAAATTTTCGTCGTGCGTGCGCGTGCGTGTTTCTAAAAGTTAATTTCGTGGCCGTGTCGTGTCGGGCCGAAAATAGCCGGCCCGTGCCCATCTCTAATCTGAAGCGTGCTTCTTCAATAATTCGGCTGTAAAAGAATGCGTAAAAAATTTAAATATTGTTTGTTTAAGAAACAGGCGCGCAGCTTGCGGCAAACTGGCGATCAACAAAAAAAAAAAAAGAAGAAAGAAACACACTATCGCATACCAACACACACACACTAGCTGCACTTGTCAGCATTGCAGCACCCCTCTGCCTTCCGGACTACTCTTCCCTCTCCCTTGCACATGCGTGATATCATACTCTTATCACACTTTGTTATTAGGCCTACACACGCAAACACAAATAAACAGGTATACATACATACACACGCACACATATTCATTAGTGGCTTAATAAATTACAGCATAGCAGCAACAACACAAATTTTTCGGTGCGTGCCGTAACAAAGTGTAACAACAACAATAATAACAACAACAGCAAGACAACCTTGGGCCTCCTTAGTCGTCGCTTCTTCTTCGCATTACATTTCTTCAGTTCAGCCAGCGCGTCTGTTACAAAAATGTAAATGATGGTATTTTATTTGGCTGTCGCGGCCTCTTGCACTTTACAAATGTTTTTTTAGGTTTCTTCGATTTGTTTATTTGTTGCTCTCTTCTTCTTTTTGGAATTCTGTTGCCCTTTGCTGGGCGCCTGTTAGAATACTCCAACTAATTAACGGGTTATGACAGGTTGACGAAGGCAGGCAGGCGTTCATCATATTTATGTCTACTATATATTTATGTATGTATGTATGTACATATGTATATTTAATACGGTATCAGCAATGTGGGGCTTGCCTAATTAATGCACAGGTTCGTGGGCCGCCCACCCGCTCTCCAAGCGAAGTAGCGCCTTCTCACGCACTGGCAAGGCAGCACGTGATTTACCGTTAATTATGGAGCTTCAAGCTTCTTCAAGTTTACTTGTAACCTCGACCTAGACCAATTATCTCAAGGTAATTTATTAGGCGCACAGAGTCGTTGACGAACTGCGTAGCCTAGCCCAGAGTGGAGCCAAACTAATGTTTGCCCTTCACGCACACAAATATTTGACACAAACACACTCGCACACGCACACATGCACTCATATACATACATACAAACATACATGTACATACATATGTTTGTATATCAAGTGTGTATAGGTTTTCCAAAAATACCGAAAAGCAATAGAGAATTCAAGAGCACGTCGTTGCTTTGATAAGCAACAGCAGCGTCAACGTAGATCGCTGCATTCTGTCTTTTGTTGTTGTTTCCCGTGTTGTTGTTGTTGCTTCAACTGCTGTTAAGTGAGCAACTGTTAACAGTAAGACTGTTCGTTGACTGCACTTTGCTGTTTGCCTGTGAAAATATCGATCGGTACGGAAGGGGTGTGTGCACCTACCTCACTCTTCAACTCTGTGTCTCTCTCTCCCTCTCTCTCTCTTGTTTTCTCTGTCTCAGTCTCTATCTAGCCTTGCATGGGTCAGTGTTTTTCAGTGCCATTGAAACTGAATTATAAATAGCATATGTGTGTATATACATTCAAATATACATACATACATACATACATATGTTGTGTGGTACCTACACACATGTACATATGTACATACATATGTATGTACACACATATCTATGAATTAGTTGCCGCATTTTTTTTGAAGCGTGTTCACAACTTGAAAAAAAATTCATATAATCGAAAATCGCCTTCAAGGTCCCTATTATGTTTTATGTAATATACTTGTTGCTTATTTTGAGCGCCTGTTGCGCTTAGATCGTTTTTGAAGACAATGTGTTCTAGGAAAAAAAACCCAAAAACAAACAACAAAAAAACTCTTGAAAACCAACATTTTACATACATACATATGTATGTATCAACAAGGCAGTGGAATCGAAAGATCTGATTTATACAACAATGAGAAACCAAGAACCGAACCCTGTTGTACATTATATGTATATGTATTTCTATTTATATATTCCTATTTGGAATTTAACACTCAATTATTTTGTTTAATTGTATTCACTTGTTCAAAAACCGAAACAATTCTAAAAAACGAACCATCGTTTAATGTGTTATGTATTACGAATATAGAACCTGAGACGCTTTTCTGCCAAAAAATTAATAATAGATTTATGTATATCCTAAATGGTGTGGATTTTCACTGGCCGTGTAGAACATTTAATCAAAGTTTGGCAAGGATTCCAAACATTTCGATTCAGATCTACTAGATTTATAAAAAATTTAGAGTTCTCTGTTTTTAAATATTGGGCAATATTATATCTCTCATGTCAATACAAGATAATGCAAGTAAGCACTAAACATGTATTATTCACTCCTAAAAAGAATGATGTGCCTAGAAGACCTGTTCGGTAATATTCTGTTTATTATAAATATTGAGTCAATGATTGACAAGTTCTGCGATGTATTGTAAAGACCCATCTTTTGTTCTCTTTCAGAACCTTCAGCAATGGAGCGAGTGAAGCGGTTACTCAGAGTTTGCAACCGGAGCGACGTGCGCGTTTAAATACCGCACCGGGCATGCGTCATATGGCGGCGGCGGTAACCACCACAGCTCCGCTGGGTGGGGGCACCAGCCTGAAGCGCACTTACCAGATTCTGAGCGGTTCGAGTGCGAGTCACATTACCGATGACAGCAGTACAGAGAGTTTAGCGCCCGTTAGCACCTTTGGGGGCAGTTTTCGCAACAGCCTCAACAAATCGGTGCAGATAAGTGATTCACGCTATGTGGGTCAACGGCCATCGACAGCGGGATTGCAAGGACAACGCGAGGGACGCGTGGTGCTGGTGTCGCGTAAAGTGCCGTTCTTTATCTTCTCCGCATTGCCTTATTGCAAAGGCAAGAATGGACGGTGAGCTTTTATTTTTATACTCGTAGATAAGTGCAATAAACCCACCTCTTAACCACACCTTATTTTTTGTTTCCAGTGGCGAATTTCGTAAGGAGGATCGTCGACGACGTAATACCTCCACTTCACGTCCACTGTCCTCCATAAATGATGCACCCTTTGATCCCTTTGATTTGCTGGGCATACAAAAGGCAGAGAGCGGTCAGGTTAGTTTAACAATGCACCTTTTTCCGTAGTTTTTTTTATTGTTTATGTTTGTTTTTCAGGATATATCCTATGGACATCTGTTGATACCATCACGACCGTATGAGAAGGACCGGAAGAAGCATGGCAATGCATCGGCAAATCCTTCCGTTTTTGATAATCAAATAGAAATAACAAGCACAGCAGCGCTTAAAAATCATGGCATAGCCAGGTTGGTCCAATTTCCTATGCAGTGCTGAATAGGTCTAGGGTTCAACTAAATTTAGGACCTAGAAAGCGCGCACACCCCACACAACACACATCAACAGTCCCATTGTCATACACATAATTACATACATCCATGGCTCATGCTCATGCTGATACATGAACCGCATTTTCCACACATGGCCCTACCCGAGAATCTAACTGTAACAAAAGCAACCAACCCCCTCTTACCTGTCGTATTTTGTACTTTGCTCCGAACCCTTTGGGATGAGATTGCAAGTAAAAGATATCCCTTTATGTTCTATCCAACAATTGGGAACCGGAGGTCTGACAAATTCTGGTTACTTAAGGATTCAGGGTTGGGAGTTGTCTAATTAGAATCACCATAATCTGAAAGTTTCGAGATGGTTAGTTGGTCTTTCTTGCAAACAAAAGACGTCTGAGTTCATAGTTTGAGGACTTTATAATCATCTCATACTTCCTCTAATATATTGAGAACTTCTTCAGATCTTCAAATGATTCTCCTTAGTTCTACAGCTGATCTTAGTTGAAGACGTCTGAGTTAATCGTTTGAGGACTTTGTTATCATCCCGTACTTTCTCTAACATATTGAGAACTTCTTCAGATCTTCAAATGATTCTCCTTAGTTCTACAGCTGATCTTAGTTGAAGACGTCTGAGTTAATAGTTTGAGGACTTTGTTATCATGCCATACTTTCTCTAACATAATGAGAACACAGTTCTTCAACGGTCCTTAGTTGAAGACGTCTGAGTTAGTGGTTTTGTGGACTTTATGATCGTCCAATACTTTCGCTTATATAATGAAAACTTTTTAGAATCTTCAAAAGCAGTATTTCAGAACCAGGCCACTTTTGGTCGATTGTTATTAACTCCTGGCCTTTAAAGCCGTTGTTAATGGTTTGTTATAAACCCACCTTGACTATCAAAATAAAAGAAAAGAACATTGCTTACATAACAACAGCAGTGTTTAAATAAGTATAACAATTTTGTTAAATTATTTTAATTGCGTGTTGGCTTTTTTCGTAACTCTATATTTCCACATCAGCAACATTGTTTTTAGTGCCTAAGCACGAGCTAAAGAATTTTCAAGCTCATCAACAAATGCGTTGCCCAAATAATAGCTTCAACATATGGAAGCTTACTTAGTCATCAGCAGAAATGGGGGCTCGTATAAGCTTTGTTGCTGTTGTTATTGTTAATGACCACATGATATGTTTTTCGAATTTGGTTACCGACTGACGCAGCAAATATTGTATTTATATAATAGTTATACATATGTCAGCATTGTAATCGAACACTGAAGTAGCCACCGGACCCCCTAACCACTTCCCATGCCTCCTTCCATAAATATATGTACCGTAAACACAGAGTATCGCAAACATTTTATACCATTAACTTATTGCTAATCATAACGCTTTGCACTACTTCGTTTCAGCACAAAAACCATAACCAAACGTCAAGGCAAATGGTAAATTTTTGAAGCAGCTAATAAAAATATAAAGACAAGGTTAACTGCATCTGTCTCAGCTGCCATTAAATGGCGACCTCGTTGAGATCGGAGCCGTTAACAAGCCTAGCTTTCAAGTAGTCGAAAAATCCAGCCACTAACAAAACTCACTCTCCACTTACATTCTACACCCAACCACCCACAATATGCCAGAACAAACAAATATCGATACAGAAACGCTTCCACTAACCACAATTCACAACTTATTACTTGTATATATCTGTACCTATCACGCTTTGCTTTCTTCTTCACTATACTTGTATTACTATATGTACTTATATATTTGAACAACAACTTATTCTAACGCCATGCTAATCACTTCGCAGGTGCTTCACCTATGAGAATAACAATCGTAACAGCGCGGCCAGTCCAACGCCCGACATGAAGCTGGATATGGACATAGAGAGCATAATACTGGGCGGTGATACGGCGCGTGGATTGCCGGTAAGCAAATCAAAAGACTGACAAGTTTTTGAAGAAAAATATCACAATAATATATCACTAAATATAACTAAATAATTAAAATAAATGAAAAAAGAATCAAATACATTCTTCAGCAGCTAGTCCTGCTTTTTTTTTAAATCAACTCAATTTAGATTCGAGTATTGTTAACCGAGCGAATTGAAATATATTATATATACTTATATTCATAATTAAAATTTTCAAGTCTGAAATCGAAGATGTTTTTGTATACTAATCACCGAAATAATACACCTCCTAGATAGCCAAAACTATTATATTTAAGAGAGAATGTTACTACTAAGTAGATGGTTTTCCATCTCTCTAAACTTTTCTGCTGAAAAATATTCATACAAGTAATTAAAAATATAATGTCTGAATTCGGAAACATTTTAAAACATTGAAATAACACTTCCTGAAAAGAATGTACTAAGTAGATGGTTTTCAAACTTCTAAAAACTTTTCCTGCTGATCTTTCGAATCGTTAGGTAGGTACATTTTAAAAACATATATAAATATTTGAATTAGCCTTAGTTCTATAGTAGTAAGGGCTTACATACGCGTACACTATATAATTATCCCAAGATTGATTTCTAATTAATTGCCTATCTTTGCAGTATCAACATTATTCGGCAAGTATTTTGGACGATCCGGAGCTTATTGCTGGCAAGCATCGTACACTTTTAACATTCACCTCGTACATGACATCCGTCATAGATTACGTGCGCCCATCTGATTTGAAGAAGGAGCTCAACGATAAGTTTCGCGAGAAATTTCCACACATACAGCTAACGCTGAGCAAGCTCAGAAGGTAAAGTGCTATTGGATCTATAATGTCGGACAATCTATAACTAAAATAAATTATTTTCTATTTTTGTTTGTGTGCAGCATTAAGCGGGAAATGCGCCGCATTAACAAACTAGACTCGCGCATTGATTTGGTTACCATATCGCAGGCCTATGTCTACTTCGAGAAGCTAATTCTGGCCAATCTGATAAATAAGAATAATCGCAAGTTGTGCGCCGGCGCCTGTCTGCTGCTCAGTGCCAAGATGAACGACGTGAAGGGTGATGCGCTCAAGAGCCTCATCGAGAAGACGGAGAGCGTGTTCCGACTGAATCGGAAGGAGCTCATCTCATCGGAATTCGCCGTGTTGGTTGCCCTCGAGTTCAGCCTCCATGTGCCCATGCATGAGGTGTTGCCACACTATCAGCGTTTGCTCTACGAATCCTAGAATTGGCCCAAGCGCTGTGCCGAAAAGCGTTTGACGGCAGCAGCGCAGGCGGTGGCCTTGGCAGCGGCGCAGGCGGCAACAACAACACGCCATCATTTGCGTCGCAAGGGCAGCAGAAAGTAGGAGAGGAAATTCCCTTTTCCATTGCATACTTTTGGGATGATAGTAGATTGTACTACCTTGGCTTGTTCCTGGTGCTCAAAAGTATGCAACAATATTTTGTTTATTTTGCACGTGTCACCGTTACGGCTTTGACGGACCATGAGTATGATAATAATATTAATAATAATACCTATATATGAATTACATATTAGATATATTTAGTAAGTAAACTAAGTTTTGCTATCTGCTTAGTAGTTTCTACGAAATTTGACAATTTTTAACGCTCCCAATCCTGGTAGTAGGTTCCCCTATATAGCCACATAAGTGTTTATGTTTCATCATGTTCTATACTTACCATTTTTTTTGTCGGTTTTTTGTTATAAACATTTATAAAATGAATAAAAATGTAAACAAATCATACATACTCGTATACTGAAAGCCATTCGAGCGTATAATTTATGCGGCAACCAAATGGGTCTAAGCACATAATAGGGCGCTGATAAGCCAGTCGCGGACCGCCAATGGACACAGTTGGAGGCCAATGCAATGACAACAGCAACAACAACTATGAACCCACTAACAGCGGTTGTACGTGAAAATATTCAAATTTGAACCCGACCAGTGCCCAACTGGAACCAAACGATCTCTGCTGCTTACTATTGCTGCGAGCCGTGCGCCGAAAGCTAACTAATCCGCCCCAACTGGCGCCATCCGAGTTTTTCTCGACGAAAATCTATGCGAGTGGGAACCCCAACAAACATTTGAACACTTCACAATCAATTGGATGGGGCCCATCAATCAAAAATCAATAAATAACATGCGATCGATTATTTGTCAGAGTAACAGGCCCTCAGCACGCCCAAACAAGTCAACTCATACACAGAAAAACAAAAAAAAAACAGAAAAAGAGTTCTGTGTGGAGCGACCGCGGGCCCAACGCAGTGATAACCAAAAATACACACGTGCCCATCGACGACCAACACACATACGAAATGCCTTTTCTTTTCATTTTTATTGTTACTATTGTTGTTGTAATGGCTGTTAACTCTTTTTGATAAGCGCTGCTTTGTATTGCTGCGGTTGTTGTTGGACTGGGTTAGGCACTGGCAGGCAGCAAATGGTGAAGGTGGCGACAGAATGCATAATTAATATAAATAAATATGCTTACTTTACCCACACAAACAGATGGTGGTGTGTGTGTGTGTGTGCTTTGTCATATAAATGGTGTGTAATGCGATATGAGTCGGTAGGTAAGTACTATACTTACATACTTGTATATGCAATCGAGTTTTGTCTTATCAGCAGAACTCGATAATGCAATCGGGGACTTAATTCGAGGGGTAAAAATATACACAAACACATATACCCTGTACCTACATAGTACCACTAAACATATCCACAACTAATTTGTCACAATTTATTTGTTAAATATTTAAAAAACATTTTCAAAATAAATGATGGAGCTATTTAGTGACCTTTAAACGCAAATTAAACCAAATATAATCATCAAATAGTCTAAATATAGAATAAAGTATGTATATATTTTCTTGGTGTAGACCGCCCTCTTAGGTTGTCCTAACTTCTAGACTAACGAGGATTAATTTTACATTTATCTTGTGAGGATACACAATTCTTTAGGCTTTGCTCAATCATTTTCGGGGTATGCGTTCATATTATATTGATCTTTCTCGATTATTTTCAGCACAACTTTCGTTTTCTCTCGTAAATAAATAAATTTAAAATATGGGTATCTAGATAGTAAAAACACAGCATATGCCACCACCGTGCACTAAGGATGCACAATTCTACATTGTATTGTGAAATATAAAATAATAATGAAGCGTTTCTTCGATTATCTAAAATTTCATTTGCTATGAACAATACTGTAGTATTGGAATACTTAACAATACGTCGTCTTACCTGTTATTCAACAGTTTTCTGGCCAGGGTGCCAATGTGAAGAGTTTGTGTGATCAACTTGCATAATTAAGATGTAGTTTATTAATAAATAAATATAAGGAATTTTAATATACATATTTTTATGGAGTCTTCATCTAAAAATCGGGACTTGCATTTGCAAAGATATATCTATAATCTCTGACTATATTTACAGTAGCGGGAACGTTTGGATACATGTTAACTGTATTTTACTTCAAACACCTATAAATAATACGCCAATTGATCTGAAATTGTTTTCATTTTAATCTTTTATATTTATTGGAAAAGCAGTAATAACCGTCATTCAAACTGATCAACTCAATTATTAATATTGTTCATCTCTGTGTGCATTCAGAACCGAAGCTCCTTCAAGCCTTCATTCAACATCGTATCGTGTTATAAAGATATAAACAAGATATAAACAAAATCGTAAGCCTGAACTAGGAGACAAGCAAATTAAATGAACATCGAAGGAAAATGATGAGGCACGACTTCAATTTAGCGAAGTACACAAATATTGGAGCGTAGCTCCATCCGACGGAAATGTACATTGCATATAGTATTTACCTCTGAAAACACACACACATACTCATCAAAGTCAAATTTTTAATTACAATTCGGACAGGTGTCTAAACTCATTAGCATCGGTAATAGATGAAGATGCGGGGGCGGGCAGGTGCTGAAAAGGCATGGAGTACAGCAGTCGTTACTTAAACAAACACATATACAACTCACACGAACACGTACATACATACATATGTATGTATGTGCCGAACGTGGTGTTTGGCCGAAAAGTTGTTGTTGGTGCTGCTTTCGCATAATAGAAACGCTCAAAACTAATTAACGCGGCAAAAGCAAAGCCATCCGTTCTTCCAAATGCTCGCTTCCAGCACCCAGCTGCCAACCCCCCCACCCGTCACGAACAGAGGACGGCACGTCGTCGTAATGTCACAATGTTGCGTTACGTTGTCTGTTGGGGGCTGGCTGGCTGTGTGGCACGTTCAATGTGTCTGTTGCTTGTCTAGGCAGCAACAGCAGCAACCCCCCGCTACAACAGCAACAACAACAAGAACAGTTTATTACTCATTAGCACGCACGACGTTGCGGCTTCTCTGCCAGCCGCTTGCCAACTTTAGCTCATTTATTAAGAATAAACGCACACACTCCCGCACACACACACACACATGCGCACACGTATTGAGCAAAAGTTTTTCATTAAAATTTCGTTTTCATTTCGTTCATTAAGTTTGTGTGCCACACTTCCTGCCACCACCCTCCCTTCCCCCCTCACCATCAGCTGCACTCATACATGCGCCGACAACTGTCTCTGCTTATCACATTATCTTCTGGGCTTTTGTATGCGTTAACAGTTTTAGTGACTAGTCGATGTCATCCACAGCCCCGTTCCTGCCTCTGCCCCTGACCAAGCCACTAACCATGGCGTTATTGGAAAGTTCTTTCTGCAATTTTTTAGCGTAGCGCCTTTGCTGCGGTCGCGGTGACTGTGGCCAGAACTTGTGTGTGTATGTGTAGGGCTTCTTCTTGCTCGTCCAGTCCGCCCGCCTATGCGCTCCTGCAACGCACGACCGACAGAACCGTACCCCCCAGAGCAGAGCAAGCGACCAATATGTTCTTTCATTTGTACGCTGCCGCCGCTGCTGCTGCTGCTGCTTCTGCTGTCGCTGCTGACGCGCTGTCGGCTCACTCACTGGCGTTTCTTTTGCTTTCGCCTCATAGCTCGCTGCTGGCTCACTGCCTCAATGGCTCGCTCGCTGGCTGGCTCACCGGCTGGCTGGCTGGCTGGTTGGTTGGTTCGTTCGTTGGTTGGTTGGCTGGCTGGTTGGTTCGTTGACTGTTGCCTGTCTGCTTGCTGTGGTTTTCTGTGCGCCTGATGCTATGCGCCGAGTTAATTGGTTTGCAAACAAATTAACCAACGTGGGTGTGTACGTTTCCTAATTAGCAGCTTTTGTAATTAAATATGCCCGCAGCCATTCAAACACACACACACACATATACCCATATTATGCATACACATTCACACAACATACAGATACATATATACACACACAAACACACACATGTGCGTGTGCTTGTGTGTATTTTGTGTGTACAATGGCATAACGGTTCATGTGAATTTGCCGCAGAAGCCCTCCCCGTCCCTCCCCCGACAGCACTCATCAACAGCAAACGCAATACTGACGCCCGCTCGGCTACTACGCAAGCTAATGAACGGCCTCCACGCCCCCCGCACTCCCCTTCAACGCACTTCCCCGCCCGCAATCCACCATCATCACCGACGTCTGCGTCCGCGTCCGCTCCTCCGTCGACGTCCAAAATGAAAATGCATTTTAATTAGGGGTTTCTGTTGGCTTTTGTTTTTAGTTCTTCCTCGTTGTGTTTGTTCTTGTTGCTATTGTTGTTGTTGTTGCTTGGTTTGCTGGCTCCAACTGGCGTCTACTTGGATTCGTTCATTAGTTGAATGCTGGATGGGGCGTCTGTTTACCAGGGTTGTCGAATGCTGATAAATTTATTTGTGTTATGTATTTCTATTTTTGCATTAAATTTTTTTATAATTCTCTCCCTTAAACTGGGCTGGCGAGAGTATGTAATGAAAAGTATATACAAGTATGTACATATGTATGTACTACTAATATGGACAAAAAAAAAGTAATAAGTAATAATATAAAATAAAATCAGCTTAAATAGTAACATCCTGGTCCCTCTTCCTTCTCATGTGTTCTATTAATATGTCTGCAAAATACTCGTAGATGTAGAGCCTGTGCAAATATGTGGCCTACGTACGAGTATTACCCTATCCTGAAATATACCGTAAAAGCTGTTTCATAGTGTTCCTTTAGGCTGATCTAATATTAACAACCAGGCAATATTTGGACTAAACCTGATCATAAATACAAAAGGCCAAAAACTCATTGAGAGGACAATATTTAGCATATTTTTAACTTCAGTCGATGCAGTCGATAGTGGCTGCTATTCCAAAGCTATAGGAACTAAAAAAGAGAACTCAAGAAAAATTAAGGGCTAACTTCCCTCCCATGCTTTTAAGTAAATTATCACATTAAACAAAATTGTTTTTGAAATGTATATTTCTATTTTTCAACACTCGACAGCCCTGACACTCCAACGATAAGCGCTCCAAATGGGACATTGAAAAAATGTGGCAATGGATATTGCTGTCGGGTAGAGGTAGGGGGTAAGAGAGAGCAATTAAAATGGTATGCCACCATTGCCCCACCCACTAAACGGCACAACGGCAGTTGTTGTAACAGTTGTTGTTGTTGGTTGCTGTTGTTGCTGTTGTTCAATTCAATTCGAGCAGCGCAGAAGGGTCCAATTAAAAAACCACAACAATTAACGAGCCAAGTGAGTTAACTTGGCATAAGTGGAATTTTAATTGGCAACACGAGAGCAGCAGCAACAACAACAACTACTACAACAACACCCAGTGAAAGAGCCAAACGAGCGAACCAAGCTCAGCTGAAC